GCTGGCGCTGACTGGCGCCACGCTGCTCGAGAAGGTGAGCTCGATCAAGGACGCCGCGCGGCGCGAGCTGCTGCTTGAGCTCCTCGACCCGGAGATACGCGTGTGGCTCTCGTTCCTGGCCATCTACGGCGAGCGGTCGGCCGACCGCTTCCTCAAGTTTACCGAGAACGACGGGCCGGGCGTGGCGTTCAAGGCACCCCGCGTGCTTCGCCTGCGGCTCGCCTACCTCGACGCGCTCGCCAGCGACAACGACGAGACGCGCGACCTCGAAGGCGGCCGTCCATGGAAGGGCGACTTTGCGCCGCTGCGAGCAATGGTCGCCAAGAACACGGCGGCGTTCTCGCGCCTGGATGTGCGGGCCATCGTGCGCAAGGCCGCACGCGCTGCTTCTACCTACTTCCGACAGCACACGGCAGCGTGGCGGACGAACCCCGCGCTCGTGGCGCTGGGAACTATGGACGAGGAGGGAGAGCATGCTGTTCTCTCGGCGCAGGAGCTGCTGGCGCTCGCGAAGCAGGGCCGGGGAGGCTTAATCCAGAGCATGCTGCCGCACCTCCCCGACTCGGCCGATGCCACCGAGCTCAGCGCTGCGATCACCAACGCCACCGAGGGGGTCGGCCTCTGGTTTCAGGACGACGCCCTCGGCGTCTTTAAGCTGCTGGCAAGCTGTAAGCGGCCGACGCAGCTGCGCGACGTGGCGGGCGGTAGCGACGTCTACGATTCCATCTGGAGCGTCGGCGTCTTTGTGCCGATCAGCAACTTCTTCTCGGAGACGGTCGTCAAGACGCTCTCTCGCGATTTGCACGGGACGCAGCGCCGGTCGGAGATGTGCGCGACAAGGCTCACGGCACCGCGGCACCGCGGGCACGTTTACCCGACAACGGCAGCCGATTGGAGCGCCGCGTCGGCCGCTCTCGGACACAACGTGTCCAAGCGAGTCACCGAGAAGGAGGGCCTCGCCGCGCAGCTGCAGGATCTCCGGCTCGACAGCATGGAGCTCTCGGCGTTCGTGGACGAGCCGCAGGAGGAGGAGGAGGAGGGCGGGGCGGAGGAGGAGGGGGAGGAGGGCTCGGGCGAGGCCGGAGGCTCGACCGACGCGGCCGACGGCGGGACGGCGAGCTCGGCGGAGGGCGAGGGTCGCCAGCCGGGCTGGCCGTTGGAGAAGGGCGTGAGCACAGCGGCGATCCGGAGGTCGCTGCAGGTGGGGAACGTCGTGGAGGTCCTCTGGGCCGTCCGGCAGGATGGAGACCCAGAGGTGTACCTCGCTCGCGTCGAGGCGGTCATGAGAATCAAGATAAAGATTCGCTGGCTGCACGAGGATACCGAGGAGGAGAACGTGTACGTGGAGTGCCCGTTCTTCACCAAGGTGGAGACATGGTCGATGAAACAGCTGTGGAACCCTGTCTCTGATGTGAGCCAGATTGGCTCGGCAGAGGCGCCTCGCTGGCGCCGCAGCGCGATAGCCGAGGACGCCGAGGCGGCTAGAGCCGCTGCCAACCGCGCCGAGGGTGGGGGGGTGTCGTGGGACACGATCATATCAGACATGGAAGCCCGCAGGAAGGGAGAAGAGACGGGAGGGGAGGACGAGGTCGAGGACGAGGCGCTGTTTGCCGGCAGACCCGGCTCCGACGACGAGGAGGTGGAGGTCGAGCTGGTGGAGCCAGAGCTACAGGGACCGCCCCACTTGCGCGTCGGCGAGGCTGGCTACATCTCATCTTACCACCGGCAGTGGTTCAGCGACTCGAACCTCGCCAACGCACACTACGTAGACGAGCGTCGAGACGGCGAGAGTGGCGCCGGCTCGCCGCTGCGGTACAACTACCCCCGCGACGTAGCCTCGGCATGCAGCATCTTCCGTCAAAGAGGAGGGCAGCGGGTGCTGCAACTCTGCGACTGCGTGATGTTGCAGCAGGTCTGCGACGGCGCCCATTGGCACAACGTCGCGCTCATCGGGCCTCAGCGGCTCGCCGTGCACTGGGAGCCGTTCGGCACCAGCATTTTCAGCCGCACGCATCCTCTAGCGCGCGTTCGGGACGCCTTCGACGCGGCGCCAAAGGACACGGGCTGGCAGCTAGTCAGCGTGACGCTCAACTTGCAGAGCGACGGCTACCAGTGCGGGCCGTGGGCGCATTGGTTCCGCCGCCGCCTCTTCGCCTACTGCGCGGACGACGAGCTGATGAGCAAGCAGTCCTTTGCCGAGTACCTCTCGACCAGCCCGGGCATCAGCCCGCTCGGAGCGCTCAGGAACAGGAGGGAGCGAGAGGCCGCCGGCGCAGCAAACACGGCCTTCATGCACGAGGAGCGCGTGCGGCTGCGCTGGCTCCTCCGGGCAGCGGCGCGAAAGGACGCGCTTCCCTACGAGCATCCGCTGCAGGACGCCTTCCGCCGAGCAGGGGCTGCGGCGGCAGCGCGCGCGGACGCGGTCGTGCTCGACGAGGGCTTGGAAGGCGATGAAAAGTACTTCGACCTCTGTGACGACTCGTGACGGCCTGCACAGGTCGCCCTGGTCGCCGTCGCCGTCTCGCCGCCTCATCCGCCAACACGGCCGTCGCCGCCAGGGCCGCCACTGCCATCGCCATCGCCGTCGCTGCTTCGTTCACCACTACCAGGGCCGTTGCTCTACCGCTCCCCAAGCGTATTGCCGGTGCTGTCACGGGCTGCCACTCCTAGTACCTTGCTGCTCGGTCGCGTTCAGTCTAGGTCGACACGCTACCCTGCCGTTCGGGCGCCGCTCACCGCTTCGCAGCGAGCCCGGGCTCTGTAAACATCTCCGTCGCGAGCTGCGCACGCCCCGCGGGTCCGTGTGACTGTAGCTGTATCTCCCAAACATCTCTCGCAGCTCAAAGCGATCTCCCCTAATCTCCACGGCTCGAGATTGCACGAGATAAAAACGGCGCTCTCGAGGTGGTTCGCCAAGATCTGGACAGCGGAGCGCGTAGAACGCGCGCTGCTGATGTGCACAGAGCCCGGGATGGCCAGCATCCGCCCTCGTGGTCGCGAACGGCGCCGATCGGCGCGTGCGGCTCTGGCAGCCGCCCGGCCGCGTCGGAGCTGCAGAGAGCGGCACGCGGCCCGGTGCCGTTCGGGCGCCGCTCATCGCTTCGCAGCGAGCCCGGGCTCTACAAACATCTCCGTTGCGAGCTGCGCACGCCCCGCGGGTCCGTGTGACTGTAGCTGTATCTCCCAAACATCTCCCGCAGCTCAAAGCGATCTCGGCCTAATCTCCATGGCTCGAGATTGCACGAGATAAAAACGGCGCTCTCGAGGTGGGGCGCCGGAATCTGGATAGGGGAGCGCGTAGAACGCGCGCTGCCGATGTGCACAGAGCCCGGGATGGCCAGCATCCGCCCTCGTGGTCGCGAACGGCGCCGGTCGACGCGTGCGGCTCTGCGTCAACCAGTACGGAGCCCGAAATGCGTCCAAAAGTAAAAAAATCAGCTTTCCGCGCCTCCTCACTGCTCGCCGCCGCGCAGGCGTGTTCCGGGGGCCCAGTGGAGCATTTCATCTAGTGGCGGCACCAGCTCTAGAGAAATTTATAATTTCTCAGTGGGGTTTTGACATAGTGTAAGGAGCGTTCCACAACACAACACAGATCAGTGTTCAGAGACGCCATTCCTTGCTCACAGTCTCAGGCAGTCTCTCAGGGACCCTCACTGAATCTTACCACACAACGATAACCTCTAGGCCTAAGAGCGCGACACACCGCCGCAGCTCAAAGCCGCCGCCGCGTGCCCATATGTCTCCTCACACGTCGCCCTGGAGCTTCATCGCGATAACGCCCACCGCCATCGCGGCAACGCCCGCCGCCGCCAGCGCGACAGCAATCGCTGCGCAGGCAGCAAGGGACTGGCGCCGTTGGCGGCGGCGGCGGAGCACGGCTGCCGCGTCCCAGCTCGAAGCCGGCCAGAAGCGGAGCCCCACCGACTCGTACGCCGCCTCCACACGCACAGCGCCGTCCGGGTCGTCCTTCATGACCCGCTCGAGTGTGCCTGCCATGTGCAAGCTCGCGCCGCGCAACATGCCAGCGGTCCGCTTGGACGGCCGGACGAAGTAGCCCGGCGGCTGGGAGCCGAGGTCGCGCACAGTGGCGTGCGCGGGCGAGTCGGCGGGCTCCGGGCAGACGGCGTCGCCGACGGCCACGACGCCGCCCTGCAGCACCTCGCAGGACACGCCGGAGACGTCGAAGATGGCCTCAAGCTGGCGAGAGGGGAGGGGGGACTTTGCGCGTGAGGCTCGCGCGTGGGCGGGTGGCGTGTGGAGGAGCGAGCAGGCTACGAAGCGTGGCTCGTGCGGCTCCACTTCTATTGTGGCTGCACTCACGCGCCTGCCCCTGCCTCCCGCAGAGCCGCTCGTTGTACATGCAAGGCACGCAGTGGCGGTGCACAAACACAACACCACTGCCGAGGCGGAGTGCCGAGCCCTGCGCCATCAGAAGCTGCTCGCCGGTGATGCCTCGGACGACGATGTTTCGCCGGAACTCTCCGAACGATGCCGAGGTCGGCGGCAGGCCCGCCCGCTCGAGCGCACTCTCGATGCCGTCGGCAGAGATGATCGTCAGCTGGCGCCCAGGCTCGCGAGTGCCGGGCTCCCGCGATGAGAACTTGAGCGCCGAGTAGGAGCCAAGCTTTGTCGCGTAGCGGTCGCCAGCGATACCCTCGCCCGCCAGCAGGGTGACCTGGTCGCACGAGACCATCGGCGCCGCTGAGCGAGACGCGGTGAAGAGGCCCACAACCTCGCCCGAGGCGGACTCCGTGAATTTCTTTGCCAGGCGGGGAGAGCGGCGAGCCATGCGGGTGCGGGGGGGGGGGACGGCGTCTCTGCCCAGTAACGAAAAAAAAAACGCGCTGCGAGCCTGTCGTGTCCCTTGTCAGGACCAGGAGAGTCCCACCTGTGCCCCTGGTCGACCTTCCAAAATCCTGCTCGTGCAGGTGTGGACCCTGTCCTCCTCCCCCACACGATCCCCCTCGTTTGAGGTTGTCTGTCTTCTTTATTTCTTTTTCCTAGCCCTCCTCCCCACCCAAGCGCAGTGCGAGTGTGTAGAGCCTCATGTCGCACGCCGCGGCTTCGTCCAGCCGCGCCACCAGCGCCTCGCGCAATCGACTCTGGCGGCGCAGCGCCTCGCAAGAGTGAAACTGGCGGGCGAGGTGCACATCGCTCCCGCAAGTGTGAGGGTTGTTCGCCCTGTGTGCGTCGGACGACATCAGGTGCGGCAGCGAGTGGTTGGACCGCCAGCCAAAAGCGTCCATCACCTTCCGCAGCAGATCGCCCAGCCCGCTGGTCGTCCCCACCAAGTCGAAGCCCTGCAGCGCGCCGCTCGCGGCACGCGCGATGCAAGCGTCGCAAGCAAACGGTAGCGGCGCTTCCGTGGCCTCCCGCCCGGCAAGCTCTGGCGCTCCGAGGCACTCAAAGTGTCGCTGGCGCGTCTCGGGTGGGCAGGCGGCAGCGGCGAGGCCACAAGTTGAAGAGCGCGACTCGGCGCGCACGCCGGTGGCCTCGCTGCGCTGAAGCAGCGGCGCGCCCAATATCCGAGTCTGAATCCCTGAGGCGAGAGGAAGGTACTTTGCCAGCGACAGTATCGCCCGCGAACGGCGCGCCGCGCCGCCGCCGCCATTGCCGCCGCCGCCGCCGCACCGTGCTGGTGACTGTGAGCCTGCCCGCGGCCGGCGGCAGCCCGTGCGGATCTCCCAGTCCGCCACCGGCTAACGAGAAGATATTCATTGGCTGGTTCGGCCCCCGCGGGCTTGCAAGCGTTGTCTTTACCATCCTCGTGATGGACGAGAGGGACCTACCAGGAGGCAAAACTATTGTCATGACAACGGCATTACGGCTGAGAAGGGGGGGCACGGTCTCACCCGATCGCGCTTTCACTTGCGCTCTCCTTGAGCAGGTGGTTGCTGTTGCATGCTCTGTGCTCTTGCACGGGATGAGTGCCAATCCCCTCGTCGCTGCGCTCGAGGCGAGTCTCCGGGACAAGCACCAGCGGGGCGTTGCCGGCGCAAAAACCGACGCAGGACCAGTAGCTAGCCCAGAGGCGCGCCCCAGGCCGTACTCCTACTCACTGCAGGATGCACGCCTCTCGAGTGGGAAGAGTAGCATGCGATGAGAGAGAGCACACACACATGGACAGAGAGTTTGTTTCCCCCTTTTGTAATAGACGCGGCTGGTATCACTACGTCTATCAGCGTCTCCGTCTCTGTCGCACCAAATAGACGAGAGCTCTCTATCTCACACGTCTCTCTGTCCAGACCAGGTCGAGACTCTATAATAGTGTTGATCGAATCGAGTCGAGGTCTGCCGTAGCTAGAGTAGTGTTACACGTGTTCATCGCTCGCCAACGGGGCAGCACGTGCGGACTGGCAGCGTGAGGTCCTCCGGCTCGCCCGGCAGCGCACACGAGGCGACTTGCACGCATGCGAACGGACCGTAAAATTCGCCATCCACGAGGAGCGAAAAGCGCTCCCCGGCCGCCGCCGCCGCCGCCGCTGGCCCGGACAGCCGCTGTCGTGGATCGGCATTCGCCGCGGCCGCCGAGGGGAGACCCGCCGTGATTGTCGCCGCTCGCACGTAGCGCGGAGGTGCGTCCGCGTGGCGGCTGCCGCGGCCGCCGGTGCTGCAGCGGAAGAGGAGTCTGGGCGAGGTCGCCGGCTCGTGCGGCGCGGTCGAGAAGTTTTCAAAGCTGAGAGCGGAGAAGCGGCCGGCCATCGGGAGGCCGGGCGTGTGCACCTCGCCCCGAGGGTCGCTCAGCGAGAGGGCGAGGGTCAGGCCGACGCCGTTCGCCACGGACTGCTCCGAGGGCTCGGCCGAGGCCGACGCGCCGCCGAGCACCTCCACGCTGCACGCGAAGGCGATCGTCACGAAGGGCGGCGAGCCTGTCCTCGCGGGCGGCGCGAGCCAGCAGCGAGCCTCGAAGACGGCGAGCTCGAGAGTGTGGCCCGCGTGGCGAAAGTACTGCTCGGCCAGAACGCTCCTCCACGGGTCAGCCGGCGGCGGGGTCGGGGGCGGCGACGGGGGCGCCCCGCCCGCGTCCGCGCGAGGCAGGGTGAGCTGAGGCGCGGTCGGCTGCCCGAGGGCAAGCGGCGCGAAGACGTGCTTGCGGTACCCGCCGTCGCGCGCGCTCAAGTACTGCGCGAGCGTGCTCGACTCCTCGACGGGGACGAGGTAGAAGCGCCACTCGACCAGCGCGCACAGGTCGGGGTAGGCGCCGCGCAGCACGACGTACGCCTGGAGGAGGGCGTGCAGCGCGCCGTCCCCGCCCACCGCCGCCACGCGGAGAGGCGGCGCCGGCTGGCCGGGCGGAGCGAGCTCGGCGAGCTGAGCGAGCCGCTCGTGCAGGGGGGGCAGCAGCGGGCTGTACAGGTACCGCCGCCCCGCCAACCGCTCCGCCGCCTCGCGCAGCTCGCGCGTGCGAGTGTATCTTGCGCTCCCGCCGGCGGAGCTCACCAGCGGCCGCAGCGCCAGAGGGGGAAGGTGCGGCTCCGGCGAGGTGGCGGCTCCGCTGCCGCCGACCACCGCCGCCGCGAGCTGCTGCACCGTCTCCTGCAGCTTTGCGCACTGCCTCTCCTTGACCGCCGTCCAGAGAGGGTCGCTCGGCGAGCCGTCGCCGGAAGCGAGCAGGGCCGCGTCCACCGCCGTCGCGGCGAGGCGCAGCACGTCCTCGCGGCTCTCGAGCGCGGAGCCGGAGGAAACGGCGGCAGAGCCGGAGGGGGCGGGCCGTCGCGAGTCGCCGCCGCGCGCGAGCGCGAGGAGCATCGAGCGGAGTGCCTCGCACACCGCCGCCTTGTGCTCCTCCTCGGTCGCCTCCCGAGGCAGCAGCAGCTCGCGCGCCGCCCGTGCCCAGTCCGAGGCGGGCCGCTCGTCGAAGGCGCAGTACACGGTGTGCCCCAGCGCGAGGAGGAGGGCGGCCTCGTTCTGGGAGCAAAGCGCCCTCCGCAGCCACCGCGCGTCCGCGTCGACGGCGAGCCACGCCCCACCCGCGGGCAGCGCAGCCTCGGCGTGGGTGGCCGAGAGGAGCTCGGCAGCCGCTGAGCCGGCTGGCTCGGGCCACAGCAGCAGGGCTTTGGCCGCCGATCGCAGTGCGGAGAGCCTCTCGCCGGAGAGGCGGTGCTGAGAGCGGACGAGGCTGCGCGCCAGAGCGAGCACCGCCAGCGCACGCTGCGGAGACAGCAGGGGCCCCAGCCGGAGGAGCCCGCAGATGGTCTTGACCATCGTCCCGATACGAAGGTCCGCCGTGCCGGGTCGAAGCAGAAACTGGGTGGCCAGCGCGCAGGAGTGGTCGTCGCTCTCGTCGTCGGTGGCCATACCGACGAGCGATGTCACGCTACTCGCCGCCTCTTTACAGCCCACCAACCCCAGCAGCGCAGAGGCGGGCTCGCCAAGAGAGCCGAGCGTCTTTGCGGCCCGAGCGAAGTCCTTGTGGTTGGGATCGATCGGTGCTCCGTACAGGACGAGCTGGGCCATCGTTGCCATCAGCGTGGCGCGGGAGACGTGGGACCGCGCTGACGCGCCGCCTTCTCCCTCTGCTGCAGGCGAGGCCGCGAGACGGTCGGCGAGGGCTACAAACAAGGCGGTCGCGGCCGCGCTCGAGGAGTTGGCCCGCTGCCAGAAGGAGTGGTAGGAAGCCAGGGTGGCGTGCGGCTCGATGTCTAGCGTCACCGCGCCGCGAGACTTTCCAAAGATGGTTGAGCGCATGGCGTCACTATGTGAGCGCTTCTTGCTTGGCGACTTCCGGGGCTGGCGACCGACATTCGGACGTCCGTGAAAAAAGAATAAACCCGGCGCTGATTTTGTGTGTGAGCTGTGTGCGTGCCTACACAAGGTGAAACAGGCAATGCCTGGAGGCCACGTGATGTAGTGCTCATCGACCCTCTGAGTGGGCCTCTCGTTCCCCGCAAAACACTCCCCCCAGCCCCCTCAACGGCGTGGGGCGGCTGCCGCCCGACACCCGCCCCGGTCAGAAGAGGGGCGTGACGAGCCTCGCGACCGCCTCGTCCTCCACCTCCTCCACCGACCCGTGCTCCCACGCCGGCGGCGCGGGAGGGACGGGCGGCCCGCGCGCCTCCTCGCGCGCCGCCCTCGCCGCCGCCCGCCTGGCGATCTCGCCGACGGCTCGCGTCTCGTGCCGCCGCCGCGCCTCGGTCTCGACCGCCTGCAGAAGCTCGACCTTGGAGCGGTGGAGCAACCCGGCGCCTGCGCGGAAGTCCGCCGTCGCGGCGGCCGCGGCGCACGACTCGGCCTCCGCGCGCGCCGCCGCCGCCCAGCAGTCCGTCTCCTCGGCGGCACGGAGCTGCGCAAAGGTGAGCGACAGCGCGAGCGGCGACGCCTCGCGAAGCACCTGAGAGAGCGGGAGTGGGAGTGGGAGTGGGAGTGGGAGGGGAGCGGGAGGGGAGCGGGAGGGGAGGGGCACGTCCGGCGCGGGCGGGTCGGCGCGGGCGGGCCGGTGCTGGTCGGCGAGGGGGTGGGTGGGCGGGGCTCGCCTCGAGCGCGGCCTGGTGCCACTCCGTCCCTCCCTCCTCGAGGGCGCGCATCACCTCGGGGAGAGAGCCGCGCGAGAAGGCGGCCTCGACCTGCGGCGCGTAGTAGAGCGCGTGCTCCTCCCCCCACCCGCCCAGCGGAGGCAGCTCCACGCACGCGTCCGACAGCCGGCGAGACACGCGCCACAGCAGCCGCCGCTCGCCCTCTCCGCCGGCCGCAGCTCCGCCCTCTCCGCCGTCAGAGAAGCCCTCGCCGAGGGCGTCGGCGAGCTGCGGCAGCGCGTGCGCCTCGCAGAGGTGGGTCGCCAGCCCGAGCGCGTAGCACTCGGGCCCCGTCAGCGCCGCGCCCGTCAGCGCGAGGTAGCGGCCGAGCGCGTGCGGCAGCCGTGCCAGCCGGTGCGACGCGAGCGACTCCGGCGGGCAGCCGTGCGAGGGGCCGGGCAGGCAGAGGCGCGTCCGCTCCGTCGCGACGAAGAAGGGCGCGTGCAGCGCCGCGCCGACCGCCGAGCCGCACAGCACGCCGTCCAGAGCGACGACGGCCGGCGCCCACCCTCCTCCGTCGGACAAGGTGCCGAGCGAGCGCATGAGGTTGGCGAGCTCCTGGAAGTGCTTGGCGCGCGCCGCCGCGTCCATGCGCGCCACCTTCGCCATGTTGCTGCCCAGCGACCCGTGCTCCGCGCCGTCGGTACCCATGAGCACCGCGCTCTGTGTTGTCCGCGCTGCACGCGCCGCGGAGAGCTCGCCCAGCATATCGAGCACGCGCGGCCGCGAGAAGGAGTGGTCGCCCGCGCGGAGAACGACCGCCGCGCCGCAGGCCTGAGAGGCCGCCAGCTCGCGCAGCGTCGCAGCGGCGCGGAGCGAGGCGCGCGCCATAGGGGAGGATGTCGGAGTCTCTGAGAAAAAGCTGGTCTACATCCGGGCGGGATGGGAGGACGGCCCGCCGCCACCACACAGGGATTTTAAGGAGAGGAGTGTGGTGCTAGCCGTCGCCCACCCTAACCCTTGATCGTCTGCCTCTTTCTATCTCCCTTCGCAGTGCCTCGCCGATTCTCTCTCTCCCACACGAGCGACGCTGGTGTTCTTTTTCTCGCCGAGCTTTGAGCACTTGAGCACTGGATAGGGTCGATTCCGCATGGTACGGGACCCCTCGATCGTCTCACCCTCCCTCACTGGTGTGTTCAGGGGGGGGGGGGGGGGTCATAACAAACACGTTCCAGGATCGAGGGGCACGCGCCCCCCACCGAGGGACTTCGGAGGGGGTAGATCGGGCGGGGTCGTCCCCCCTCTCCATCATCTCCTCGGGAGATGTCCTCCGGGGGTGGCGGTTGTGACCGCGATCGATCGAGCTACAATACACACAAGGTACAAGAAGCTGCCGAGCCCAAATCACTGTGGGTCGTGATTTCTTGTTGGTCTTCAAAAATCTCTACATACAAGAGTCAAGAGGAGGTAGTTCAGCAAGATCTCTCTGACATTGGGTTGGTCTGGCGCACTACCTCACTGGGCCTGAGACCGCCGAGACATTTCCCTTCACCGTCTCGGGTTTATGTGGAGTCGAACCACCCCGGGACGAGCAAGCCCATCAAGTTATTTTCGTCAAAGTGGAGCTCGTGCGAGATGTTCAGCCGCCCGCACGTCGTCCCCCGCACGCTGCCGAATCCACAATATTGGTTGGGGACCCGTAGCATCACGCCCTTGGGCGCAGGCAATAATCCGACGTCCTGCTAGACTGCCGGCCCGAAGTATGTACCGCCATACAGCTGTATGCGGCCCTGGGATGACACGTCTTATAGCGCCGAGTGCCGATGCAGCGTGCTGAGCACATCGGGACGGAGAAACCCAGAAAGGCCCGCGCAAGTAGTAGACAAGGCGCGGCCGTCCAATGACCATCGCGGCAAAGGGGAGTCAAAGGATGCCACTGCTGTCTCCACGCTTGGTGGGCATGGTGGCCAATCCCAGCAGTGCACCAACCTTCCGCCAGCCGCGAGGCTGTAAGACCGTTGTCCACGTACTTCAGCCGCCCCACCGCCGCGGGACCTCCCCACGGCGATGCCCACCTTGCCCTCGTACTTTTGTCGAAGAGCAGCAGCGCTGAATCTGAGAACCTATATATTATCCTGAGTCGGAGCTTTGCAGTAAATTCTTTTTCTCTCTCCTCTTGGAGCGCTGCAGTGTACAGCTAGGACCGCGCCTGCGCAGTTTCGGGGTCGTGGCGGCGACGCGGGACACCCCACGACTAGTCCCACGCGAGCGTGGGACGGCCCCTGGCCAATTAGACTGGTTCCACAAAAGATTTAGCCACGTCAATCGTCATGGGGCCACACCAACGTCAGGGGCGGCCGAGGCCGCACTCCGTACTGAGAGAGTTCTTCTCTTCCGTACTGTACGAAAGTGTGAACACAGCTCACAGGTCGGAGCGGCAGCCCCTGACCGCACAGCGCCGCAGGCGCCTGATGATACATGTACATGCAGGAAGGTCCAGGTGATAGCGGCCCTGGATGGGCGATGCATACGCCTAGTTGAGCCGCAGGTCGCCCACCCACGTCCCGTTGCTCTGCGGTCGGATTTGTGACGCCGCCGCACCGTGCCGCGGCCGGGGGTCCTCGCTCGTCCGGAGGCCGAGGATGGCCGTGGCGGACCGGGACGAGCTCTGGGAAGCAAGGCGAAGTGTCAGTGTATATATTGTAGAGTCTAGAGACAGACCATGTGCATAATATCTATCAGTCTGCTAAGCCAGGGGAGGCGATGCCGGGGCCGTCCAGCAGCTTGATGGTGCTTCGCCGTTGTGTGTCCCGGAGCTGTCCGACCCGGACGGGCGGTCCAGACAGTGGGAGGAAAACTCAGATCAACGCCGACGCCGCTGTGATTCGACTTTTTACTTCAAACAAAAACAGTCGCACGTACCCACGCGGTGCGGTGCGTGCGACTGTCAGGAGCGGATCCGCCAGAAACGTGTTCACAGACTTTAGGCCGCGACAGTAAGGGCCCCACCCGCCCTTCAACTCGCGAGGCGCGCCCAGGTCGGCCTCGCGGTCCCTCTTTGCTTCGCTGATCTTCTGGACCTTGCAGACATGGCGAGCGGGGTGAACAAGTAGAGCCCAGTGTCCTCGTTGTCCATAGTTCGCGCTTGATTGATAGAAAGGCGAAGAACAGAGTCAGGCTCGGACTGGACACCAGCGCGGTATGGGTGGACGCGGGACAGATGATGACGACACGCACGAGCGACAGTGCGTATGTATGTAGGAAGGTGAAGAACAGTCAGGCTCGGACTGGACACCAACGCGGTATGGGTGGACGCAAGACAGATGATGACGACACGCACGAGCGACACACAGACACAAACAAGCTCACGAGACACACAGCCAGCGGGCTGCCACACATCCTGAGTGGGCGTACACATCACTCAGGCCACGTCCCCCCTGTCGCCCCCCCCAGCACTCCAAGGTGCCAAGAGACAAACAACAGCACAACAACACAGACAGGCGACAGGGGCGAACGTGTGAGACTAGAGCAGGCTTGCTCCGCCTCTAGCAATCTCGTCGCCGGCCGCAAGGCACGGACGAGACCGTGTGTGGGGTCTTGTGAGGTGTCTATGGACGCCCTCCTCACAGGCTAGCGGCCAGCCGCCAGCCCTATCTCGCACTCATGGGTGACGACAGTTCATTGGATGAGTGGTTGCGAGCAGAGGCGCGTGTGCTGAATCTAGATCGCACGCCGTGGCATATGACTTGGGTAGGCGTGCGACCGCAGCGCGCCCGCCGAAGGCTCGACCGGGCGCGCGTGTCAGCCAGAAGTTTGCCAGTAGAGCGATCCTGGTCTTTCCGAAGACGAGCCCCGCGCCACGGGTGCCAGCCGTGCCTCCGCGGGAGCCGCCTCTCGAGCCGCGTCCCGCCGGCACTGTACTGTCCCTGAGTGCGTCCCGCCTCAGCGGCACGCACTCGGCGAGGACAGTCCGGCCGACAGGAACGTGTCGCGCGCCGGCGACGAATGCGGCGGGGTGGGTGTGGGTACAAAGCGCCGCTTCGACGAAGCGAGGTAGGCAGGCGCCCCTCACGAGTCCGTTCAGACATGCCACACGCCCCTCGCAAGCGAGGTTGGTAGGCGCCCCTGGCGAGACCCGCAAGAGATGCCGCACCCCTCTCGTACCTATACTCAACCAATGAGAAGGTGAAGAGATCTTGTCGGCCAGGCGGGCAGGGCAGGCGGCCGGCGGGGGCGGGGTCAGGGAAGACTATTCCAAGACTCGCGAGAGATGCCACACGCCCCTCGCGCGAGGCAGTTCGCAGAGCACCTCCTACCCACGCGAGGTTAGCAGCCACCCCTCGCAAGACTAGGGGGCGGCCCCTCACACGACTGCCCAGTGGGCCCAGGGATGGCGGTGGCGAGTCACTCCGGAGCAGAATAGAGGTGCGCACGAGGGCATAGCACGGCCCACCCCCTTCCACCCCCCCTCGCCCTTCGCAGCCTCTCCCCCCTTCCCCTTCCCACTGCGCTCTGTTGGTTCCTCTGTCCATCTACAGCGTGGGTGGCGGCACACTGCACTGAGTCGAGACGCTCCGCCGCGCCGCCCGCTCCTTCCTCCGCTCCTGGAATACTACGAATACCCGAAGCGGAATACAATACGCAATTAATTAATTACTTAATTAATTAGGTCAGGACGTGGAATACAGTACGCGAGGTCAACTCATATTACTCGAGGTTGCCCAAGATGAATAATTAAATTAAGCCACGCAGTCGCGCTAGTCAGGTGAGGACTTGTCACCTGTGAAGGACCGGCGTGTGAAGAGCCTCGACCAATTAATAAATAGTTGAGGACGTGCCACCTCGGGCGATGAATAATTAGGTGAGGACTTGTCCCTCAAGCAATTAATAATACGTGGAAGGGAAGGGTAGGGCAGCGGCGAGCGGCGAGCGGCGTCGACGACGCGGCGAGGACACAGTGGTGACGCGATGGTGACGCACACAGCGGCAGCGTTCGCGGCGCAGCGCCGACGGCGGCCCCGCGCCGCGGCGCTCTGAGTGAGGCAGACTGCCCTGCACAGCCTGCTGGGCACTCCCGACCAGCGGCACGCCACGCGCGCCCGCCGCGGGCGACGCGGGCGGCGAGCCGACACGCCTCTCGCAGGCTTGAACAGCAGCGACACACAGACACAAACAAGCTCACAATACACACAGCCAGCGGGCTGCCACACACCCTGAGTAGGCGTACACATCACTCAGGGCCACGTCCCCCCTGTCGCCCCCCCCAGCACTGACTCCAAGGTGCCAAGGGAACAAACAACAGCACAACAACACAGACACAGGCGACAGGCGACAGGGGCGAACGTGTGTGTGAGACTAGAGCAGGCTTGCTCCGCCTCTAGCAATCTCGTCGCCGGCCGCAAGGCATGGACGAGACCGTGTGTGGGGACTTGTGATGTCTATCGCGCTGCGGAACCGGGGCCAGACCCCAAACCCCTCAGACTTGGTGTTGGAGGAGTTGGTGCCCTTGAGGTGTCATCTCGCCCTCGGCTCATCTCGGCGTCATCGGTGTGCGAGGGGCGTTAGGCTTGAGGCCAGCCTGCGGCCACGTGCGACTGTGCAGCTATAGCATGTTCGTGCTATTGGCCTTAGCTGCCAGTACCGTGCCCACGGGAGCTCGCCTCGAGGCTGGGCTGCTGCAGGCAGAGCCCGTTGCCAAGGAGCGCAGCCTGCGCGGCGGCATGGCCAAGCGGTGGCCCATCCTCGCTCGGAGGGTGGACCTCTCCCACGGTGAGCGCTACACCTCGACCGACTGGCTCACCAACTTCTTGTCAATTCCCCGCTCGCACGTCCTCGAGCGTATTGGGCCTCACCTTTGGTCCCAGACCGGGCTCTGCGCCCTCGTCGTTCTGCTTCACCGGCACGGCCTCCGCTTTCCCACGGGGTCGGCGATGCCACACACGCTCCTTGGCGGCTTCCTCTCGCTGCTGCTCGCCTTCCGCACCAACATGGCTTACAACCGCTTCTACGCCGGCCGCCTCAACTGGGGCGTCGTCAAGAACTCGTGCAGCGACTTGGCGCTGTACGCTGTGACGCACGTGCGGCCCCGCAGCCCCGCCCTCGCGGAGCGGCTGCTCGCGCTGGTCGCCTCCTTCCCACCGGCGCTCGCCTGCCGCTGCTGCTGCGACGAGTCGTCCGCCAAGCTGCCGCTGTCACAGCGGCAGGCGCTGTCGGGCGCCATGGAGACCGCCGCACCGTCCGCCGCTCTAGCCCTCTGCCTCAAGCTCCGGCGCCGCCAGACGCTCGAGGCAGCCCGCCTCCCGCCGCGCCTCCTCGCGCGTGAGGCTTGCGCTCTGCTCACAGGCACGCGCTCGCTGACGTCTCGCGGCGCGGCAGGCTTGTCCCGCACGCGAGCTCCGCCGCCGCCGTCGTCGAGACGCAGGTCGAGGCGGAGATGCTGATGCAGGTGGCATCCCCCTCGTGTCATCTCCCTCCCCCCCTCCCTCCCTCTTGCCACGCCACGCCCAGCGCGCCGCGCCGCGCAGGCGTCGCGGCGCGTCGGCAGCCTCGTCGACGCGCTCGGCTCGTGCGAGAGCTTGCTGACGACGCCGGTGCCGCTCTCCTACTCGCGGCACACGAGCCGCTTCCTCACCATCTGGTGCGGCACGCTGCCCGTCGTCCTGGTGGACGCCCTCGGCTGGATGACCGTCCCCGCGGTCGCGTTCGTCTCGTGGTGCCTCTTCGGCATCGAGGAGATTGGCCACCTCATCGAGCAGCCCTTCCGGGACGAGGAGGCGCTCGCCTCGGCGCCCGCGCTCGTCTCCGCCCGCCGCCACTACTCGTACGGCCTCCCCGTGCGCCGGCTCGGCCGGCTCGCCTCGGAGCAGGTGCACGCGATCGCCGCTGCGCCGGCGCCGAGGTTCTAGCCCGCCAGTGTGCGCGCAGTGGAGCGCACCCTTGCGCCTCTCGCGCTGTGGGCGCCTATTTGATGATACAGTCAGCGCGGATCCGCGGAATGCGGGAGCCGGACGCCGCGTACGTTACACACCGGTATCAGTACTCTTGTGTCTGTAGCCTACAGCTGAACCTGAACGCTGGAGTGGCCGCAGCTAGTCGTAGCAGCCAGTTTCGGGTGGCAGCGCGGGGTGGGGTGCACGTGGGGGATTGTGGGCAAAGGCACGTGTGTGGCACTACACTGTGTCGAGGATATTGGATAACGATTACAGATATACGGCTTGTTACAGCAGAAAAATACACAGAGAGGGCGCCGTGTGCCGGGGTGCCGGTGCGGCTTAGCGGCTTAGGGCTTTACAGATTACACTCTGCTCAGTAGTCAGTTCACAGTTGCGAGAGTTGGTCAGTACATACGTGTTAGAGTATAGTATAATAGTGTATAGAGAAAGAAGGGGAGTCGAGTCGACGAGTGACGAGTAAGTTCGTGCGGCATGTTGGCAAGCCTGTGTGTCACCTCGCGTCCGGGTTTGGCCGCTTCTCTCCGCGCTGCTGCGCGGCCGGTGGCCTCGCGCGCGGCACGAGCTCGGCAGGCGAGGCGGCGGGCGGCGCCTGGTCGAAAAAGGCGTGCGCGAGCGCCTTGTCGGCGCTCGGCCTCTGCTCCGGGTCGAGGGAGAGCAGGTCGCCGAGCAAGCGCAGGGCGGCGGGCGAGGCGGCAGGGAAGCGCGTCGGCAGCGGGACCGGCGCCACCTCCTTGAACTGGATGTAGTCGGGCAGCTTCGAGACGGCCGGCCAGCTCTCGTCGGTCGGGGTGCCGCGCAGGGAGAAGACGCGCGAGAGCTGGTCGATGTCGGAGCCTCCCGGGAAGAGGGGCGCGCGAGTCATCAGCTCGGCAAAGATGCAGCCCATCGACCTGCAGCCGCGCAAACCCGGGAAAGGTGACGCGGTGCGCCGCCGCCTCGGCCCGCCGCGGTGTGGCGCGCCACACCGCGGCAGGTCGACTGCGGGAAGTGTCTGGGAGGTGTCTCGGGAAGTGTCTGGGAGGTGTCTGGGAGGTGTCTGGGGAGGTGTCTGTGGAGGTGTCTGTGGAGGTGTCTGTGTCTGGGGAGGTGACTGTGGGGAGGTGTCTGTGGGGAGGTGTCGCGCGCCACAGGTCGACAGCGGGGCCGTAGTGCTTTGCGCCGAACAGCAGCTCCGGCGGGCGGTACCAGCGGGTGACGACCTGGCCGGTGAACTTGCGGCCGGGCGAGCCGTAGAAGCGGGCGAGGCCAAAGTCAGCGAGCTTGACGTGCCTGGCGGGGTTGGAGGGTTGGGAGAGGGTCGGGAGAGGGTTGGGAGAGGGGCGGGAGGAGGAGGGGAGCGACGGTTGGGTGATTCGGCGTCCGCGCCGCCGCCGCAGTGCGCACGCGCACCCCGACGCGTTGAGCAGGAGGTTCCCCGGCTTCAGGTCGCGGTGCAGCACCTGTTGACGCGGCGTGGCGTGAAGGGACGCCCCCCCCCCTCCCAAGCGGGCTTGCGTCCCACTCTTGTCGCAGCAAACCCAGTTGGCGTGGCAGAAGGCGAGGCCGCGGAAGGCGCCGAGCAGGTAGCCCTTGATGCGCGACGTGTCGAGCGGCGTCGTCTTGTCGCGGAGGATCTGAAGCATCGGCCGTGGAGGGAAAGTCAGAGAAGAGTGTCTGGAAAGTGAGGGAAGTGTCTCGGAGGTGCGGCGCCGTCCGGTCAATAGCGCGGCGACCCAAACCCCAAGCTGGCCCTGACCCTGAACCTGACCCCGACCCTGAGCCTGAGCCTGAGCCTGAGCCTGAGCCTGAGCCTGAGCCTGAGCCTGAGCCTGAGCCTGAGCCTGAGCCTGAGCCTGAGCCTGAGCCTGAGCCTGAGCCTGAGCCTGGCCCTACTGTGTCGCGGCCCGGCGGTGCCGACAGAGCTGAAGAGGCGGAGGTGTGTGCAGTGTCCGAGAGGTGTGCGGCGGACGCCTTCTCCAGATCAAGGACGCAAAACTCAAAGACGAGCGAGAGGGCGCTGTTGTGCGAGTAGGCCTCGCTGGACTCGATCACGTGCTGGTGGCGTAGCTCGGCCAGCAGCATCGTCTCACGGAGCGTCGACAGGTCTGCGCCGTTCTTGCCGCTCGGCTTGCGGATCTTTTTGATCGCGACCTCCTGCCCTGTCTTGATCACCCGGGCCCGTGTCACGACACCAAAGGTGCCCTCGCCCACCACCTCGATCTTTTCGTAGTCGGCGTGCCCCATGTGCCAACCCCAAAGCGGGGCGAGGAGCCCTCTCTCGCGCGCTCGGGCGACGAAGATTAAAAAAATGGGGCTCGCACACCAGGCGGTGCGGCCGCCAGTGCCGCCACCGTTTCCGCCACCCACACTACCACCTCCGCCCCCGCCGCTGGAACGGCTGCAGGGTCAAGGGGCCGCCCCAGCGGCTCCAGGCGTTACGACCGCGAGTGCCGCCACCGTACCCGCCCCCCCCCGCCACCGCCTCCGCCCCCGCCGCCGGCGTGGCCGTCACCACTCCGACCCACGCGGAGCCTGGGGGGCCCGGAACCGCCCTGTCGGAGGCTGGGGTACCCGGGGGAGGGGTCCGAGGGGGGGGGGGGTGCCGTGGGGAGACAGCGGGTCAGCCGGCGGACCGCAAGGCCGGGACCGGAGGGCCCCGGGTGAGAGGCCTGGAGTCAACTGTCGGGGGAAGTGAGAGTCGAGCTGACCCGGCCTCTGCGAGTGGAGTCGGGCCGTGCGAGCCCGCCGGCGGTAGACCCGTCGCGGCGGCGGCTGGACCGTCGTGATCTACGACAAGAGGGACCGCGCCTCCCCGAGCTTAGTGAGGAGCCGGCGGAGGGGGAGGGCGAGCCGAGAACGATAGAGAAGCCGCGGATGCGGGCGCGACTCGCCGACCAGGGAGAGCCGGCTCGACCTCCCTGGGAGGGGTGGCGACACGATCCAATGCCGCCGTCCTCGCCCGGGGAGACCCCGGCCTGGCCGTCGACGCTCTCGGAGGCTGCGGTACCAGTCGAAGGCGAAGCGGAGTCGAGGCCACAGCCGAGGAAGAGGCATCAAAAACGACTGCAGAGGCAGTCTGGTAACGCCCGGAAGGCGAGCAAGGGACCGGGACGAGCCGAGGGCTCGCCCTGAAGGGCGAAGGAAGGGACTCTGGGACCGGAGTCGGGCGAGCGCACATGAGGCGTATCCGTGTACGTGCGTGGAGTACAGTGTTGTGTGTCCGTTAGCTCCGAGTAGAGGGGGCGTTCTGCAGTTAAGGGGAAACCCGGTACACGGAACTAACCCTCGGAGACCCGTGTTTACCTTACGGCCCTTTCCCTGCGAACGCGCAACCCCCTAGGGGTCAGGGCTCTCTAGCCCGTAGCCCGATCCCGATCATCCGGCCCGCTGGGTGCGCTTCTTAGCTCCCCGGCCCTGGGTGTGAGGTTACCGACTGCACTCCAAGTGCTCCAAGATCCCGGAAAAGGTCTCCTCGCAGTAGGTTAAAATCGCTGTGTCGTGGCGGCGTGCCGTCCTCCCATCCCTCCCTTGGGTTGTCTTTGTTTCTTTCTTTTTTCTCGCACTAGGTTGCAGCGAGAATCGGCGAGGGACTGCGAAGGGAGATAGAAAGAGGCAGACGACCAAGGGTCAGGGTGGTGGGTGGGCGACGGCTAGCACCACACTCCTCTCCTTAAAATCCCTGTGTGGTGGCGGCGTGCCGTCCTCCCATCGCTGCCTTCGTTGTCTGTTTTCTTTCTTTCTTTTCCTCGCACTTCGGCTGCCTGTTTTCTTTCTTTTTCGCACTTCGGCGGTCACAGGCCAGCGCACAAATGTCCGACCTCCAAGTGCTCCGACCACGGCCACGACACTCTACCTCTCTAGTCTCGCTCGACCCCACGTCCCACGAGGCTCGTGCCACGGACGAACGAAAAGAAGGACTTATGCGAAAACGTAAACGACAAGACGCGGCGAGCGAGAACATTGCGGAGCCCGTTTTCTTTTATAAAGCGCAACACTCTTCGCGCGCCCTCGGTTGGGGAGAGAACGAGGAGCTCAGGAAGGCAAGCAAAAAAGAAAAATCCGCGGCTGCATCCTCGCCCACGCCCCCGCCAGCGAGCTTGCGACAAATGGCCTCGTCCTACGAGTCAACGCTCGAGTACATCATGGCGTCCGACGAGAAGGGCTACCACTTCACCATCTTCTCGGACATCAAGGAGCCTGCCACCGCGCAGGTCGAGATCGCCGAGGTGACGCAGCTGCCGCCCGCACCCACGAGCGCGCTTGTAGCTGGCTTCACCCAGCCTGTCCCGATAGGTCTCGGTCGAGGGCAAGCCGAGCGTGCATGCCATGCAGATCAGCGGTATGAGCGAGGAGGCAGATCCGCACCTGAAGGAAGGTGCGCCCGACCCACTGCACCGCTCCAAGGGCGAGCGTGTGCCGTTTGGGTCGATCCTGCTTCCGCGCGGCGCGGCGACCGACGCCACGCTGGTCACCATCGACGCGGGATCCACCGCTGGCCTCGTTGTCTCCGTGCCGAGAAAGTGATTGCGCACCCATGCTCTCTGAGATATGTCCTCTCGTCGCTTCACGTCCGCTTGTTAGTAAACATATGTTAGACGCGCTGGCCGGTGTGCTGATCTGCCGTGATAAGAGCACACATGTACATGTATGATAGGGTCGATATCTCAAACAGCACGTGATCTCAATCGTCCACGCGTCAGTGTGGCACTGCCAGGCGACCGGGACACGACTAAGACGCGAGAGCGAGACACACCAGCCCCCGTACCCGGGCCGTAGAAGTGCGTCGCCGGTCGTCAGCCTCAGGATCGCGCTACGCAGCGCACTCAGAACCGAACCTTTGACCGCTTGCGCGCGGTATACTTTGAGTCGGCGCGCACCACCGCGCCGCGCCGCCGCTGCACCTCCTTCTTCTGGATGACCCACTCGCGCGACTTGGTCGTGGCGCGCCCGTCTCTGCGCCCATAGCTCCGCTTGCCTGGCCGCTGGCGCGCCTCGTTCCGCACACCGCCGCCGCCGCCGCCGGCCGCCGCCTCTGCCGCCCTCTCGTGCTGGTGCAGACGCGCCTGCGAGGGGAGGGTGGGCGGGTGAGGGGAGAGGGGGGGGGGGGGGGGGGTAAATGGCTAGGGGGGGCGCGGCGCCTGCGGCATGCTGAAGCTGGGGTCGGGCGGGCCGGCGAGCAGCACCAGGAAGAACTTCTTTGCCTGGAGGAGGGGGGGGGGGGGGGGACTCGGTGCGGCCGCCAAAGGGGTGTGTGTCTTGCGGCTGCCTCTCGGAGGTGTCTCGGAGGCGTCTCGAACGTGTCTTGGTGGTCAGGCGCGACACGTCCTCTCGCCGTAGGACGAGCGGCGGAGGGGCGGTGCACTCCCGAGGGGTCTGCAAGGTCTCGGGTCGGTCCGCCGCCGGACGAGTCTGTCTCGGAAGTGTCTCGGGCGTCTCGGAAGAAGGGACCTTGGAGGAGTGCGGAAAGTCGACGACCAGGCCGCCCCCAAAGCCGGCGCGCATGGCCGACGCGGTGAGCAGCTGCAGCTGGTCGCCGTCCTGAGGGTAGAACTGCAGCGCCGCGCGGCCGCCGCGGCGCAGGCACTTGTACAGCGACTGGAAGAAGGCGAGCAGCCGCTGCCGCGGGTTGCACTCGGCGCGGTCCGAGTAGCAGAGCCACTGCACGGCCGAGATCGAGATTGCGCCATCAAACATGCCCTGTCGGAAGGGGAGGCCGCAGCCCATGTCGTGGTGGCACAGGTCTCCCTCGACCTCGCGGCTCTGAGCGACATTCAGCATGTCGCGCGAGATGTCGCAGCCGACCCACTGGTGGCCCGCCTCTTCGAGCACCTCCCCAGACAGGCCGGTCCCACAGCCGACGTCGAGGAGCAGGCACTCCTCGTCCTCGGGAAGGCAGAGCATCTCGAGCGCGCGCTCCGCCATCTGCGTCTGGATATCGATCATCCGCGACGAGTGCAGGTACTTGGCCGCCTCGGACTCGTTATAGAAGACATCGGGCGGCGCCTGCTCCTCCGGACGACACTTTGACGACGAGGCCATTCGCACGCGCTGCCCTAGGGCTCGGAGTCGTCCGTGGCGACGCAGCGCAAAAAGAATTATCTTCCGAAAAAAGAAAATGGGCGAAACACCCCGCACTGCGGTGGCGTGGCGGCGGCGGAATCAATCGCCATGAACGCCATGAACGCCATCAGCCCGACCGTGCTCGCCGACTTGCGCCGGGGCGACCTGGCCTTGCTGCGCGCCCTCCTGGCCGGGCGGACGCGCGGGCCGGCGCTCACGGCCCTGCTCGACGCGCGGATCGAGGCCGAGAGCCAGTTCACGCTGCTTGCCTTTGCCGCTTACTACGGGCAGGCCGACGCGGTGCGGCTGCTGCTCGAGAGCGGTGCGAGCGTGGGGGCGACGACGGCTGGCGGCGGCTCCACCGCGCTGGTCATCGCGTGCCAAGAGGGCCAGCTCGGCTGCGTTCGGCTGCTTCTCGGCGCCAACGCTGACGCCGACCAAGCCAAGGGTGACGGCGCCACGCCGCTGTGCATCGCGTGCCACAAGGGCCAGCTCGAGTGCGTGCGGCTGCTCCTCGGCGCCAGCGCGGCGGTCAACCAAGGCACGGAGGACGGCACCACGCCGCTGTACATCGCGTGCTGGGTCGGCCACCTCGAGATCGCCCGGCTGCTCCTCGGCGCCAGCGCGGCGGTCAACCAAGCCATGGGTGACGGCGCCACGCCGCTGTTCACCGCGTGCCAGAAGGGCCACCCCCAGATCGCCCAGCTGCTCCTCGAGGCTGACGCGGCGGTCGACCAGGCCAAGAATGACGGCACCACGCCGCTGAGCGCTGCGAGCATGGATGGCCAGATCGACTCCGTCCGTCTGTTGCTCGCTGCCGGCGCTGCGGTGAACAAAGCAGACACTTGCGGCTTCACACCGCTGCTCGTCGCGTGCCAGGAGGGTCACCTCATGTGCGCCCGGCTGCTCCTCGAGGCCAGCGCGGCGGTCAACCAAGTCACGGGTATCGGCGCCACGCCGCTGTACGGTGCGTGCCACGAGTGCCGCCTCGAGTGCGCCCAGCTGCTCCTGGAGGCTGACGCGGCAGTCAACCAAGCCAAGGACGACGGCGCCACGCCGCTGTTCATTGCCTGCGAGAAGGGCCAGCTCGAGTGCGCTCGGCTGCTCCTCGGCGCCGACGCGGCAGTAAACCAAGCCAAGGACGACGGCGCCACGCCGCTGTACATCGCGTGCGAGAAGGGCCAGCTCGAGTGCGCCCGGCTGCTTCTCGAGGCCAGCGCGGCGATCAACCAAGCCAAGGGTGACGGCGCCACGCCGCTGTTCATCGCGTGCCAGAACGGCCAGGTCGAGTGCGCCCGGCTGCTTCTCGAGGCCAGCGCGGCGGTCAACCAAGCCAACGTCAACGGCGCCACGCCGCTGTACATCGCGTGCGAGACGGGCCAGTTCGAGTGCGTTCGATTGCTCCTCGGCGCCGACGCGGCAGTCAACCAAGCCAGGGAGAACAGCGTCACGCCGCTGCACATCGCGTGCTACCATGGCCACCCCGCCATCGTGCTCCGCTTGCTGCGGGCGGGCGCAGACACAGCGGCGTGCGATGCGAGCGGCAAGACGGCGCTGCAGCTGGCCAAGGAGGAGGGCCACGCCGAGTGCGAGCGCGCACTTGTGGCGGCGGCGAGGGAGGCGAAGAGAGCGGAGATTGAGGCGAAGGTGGCGAGGGCAGTGGCCGAGAGGGCGGCGGCAGAGAGGGTGGAGGCCGAGAGGGCGGCCGAGGAGACTGCGGCGGCGCTGCTGGCGGAGGAGGAGTCGGGGAAGTGGCCCGAGGAGAAGAAGACGGCCAAGAAGAGGGGCAAGAAGAAGAAGAAGGGCGGCGGGGGAGGCGCTGGGCCGTCGCAAGAGGCCGAGGCGCCGGCAGAGGAGGCGGCAGAGGAGGCGGTGGCGGCTGCGGAGGAGGCGGAGCTTGCGGCGGCGCTCGAGGAGAGCGTGAGGGTGGAGGAGGGGAGGCGGGCGGCGGAGGCGCAAGGGCCGTCTTCGGCCGCAGAGGCGCCGGCTCCGAGGGAGGAGGAGCCGCCGGCCGACTTCATCTGCCCGATCACGACCGAGCTCATGAGTGACCCGGTGATGGCGGCGGACGGGCATTCGTACGAGCGGTCGGCGATCGAGCGCTGGCTCGCGACCAAGTCGACGAGCCCGATGACGGGCGAGGCGCTCGTGCACAGCTTCCTCGCCCCCAACCACACGCTGCGCCGGCAGATCCGGGAGTGGGAAGAGGCGAACGCATGCTGAAGAGCGCAGCGCCGCCCGCCACCGTCGGCCGTCGGCTCACACTCACACCGTCCCGGGACTGCTGGGACTAGCGGACTACGCGCCCTGAGAGGACGGCGACCTCGTTGCGCATGGAACAAAAAGGGAGAGTCGGTGAGCGCTGTGAGGGCCTGAGCTGCGGCCTGAGCGCTGAGGGCCTGTCTGAGGGGGTGTTTTCGGTGGACGGTGGAGACGGTGCGGCTTGTGTGCGCGAAAAGAATACTAATTTTTTGCGGTTATTTTTTTGGCTTTTGCGTTTTTGCCGCCCGCGCCCCTGGACTGTGGACTCCCAGAAGTCTCCACCGGCACCGCCCTGTTGCACAGAGGCTCTAGCTGAGTCCTGAGTCTGCTCTGACAGAGGTTCGCGCTGCTCCAGTGACGAGTGAGCAGTGTGCTATGCTCCACACTCCGCACAGGAGCAGCTCGGCGCATCATGCCGCACACTCACGTCAGACACATATGCGCCGTGGTCGGTCTCCGCCCCCCGTGCCCTGCGACTCCCAAGGCTCAGCGCCACTAGTAACGGCGGAAAGATCGATGGGCTCCCCCCTCAGCACTGAAGGCTCGGCGAGGCCCGCGCCTGTCTTCCCTTTGCGGAGAGCTGTGAGGCGGCGGCGCGGCCGTGCAGGCGCCGCTCTACTCGAGGGCCGCGAGCGAGAAGGCCGCGTCGCGCGAGAGGGCGGAGGGGCGAGAGAGCGCGCGGGGGGGGGGGGGGACGGCGGGCGCGGGCGCTCTCCCTCGCTCCGCGACGAGCTGCCGCCTCTGCCGCCGCGCCGCCGCTCGCCGCTTCGCCTCGAGCGCGTGCAGCGCGTCGAACTGCTCCCAGAGAGGTCGCTTGAGCGGCACGACGCCCGCCTGCGCGCCGCGGGGCAGCAGCCGGAGCCACGAGAGGAGGTCCGAAGGCTCAGAGGTGGCAGACGCGCCCTCGTTCTCCTTCTCGTCTTCGGGGCTTGCCGCCGCCTCGTCCGCCGCCGCCAGCCAGCTCGCCTCTGCCTCTGCGGCGGCGGTGGCCGCGTCCGACGCCGAGTGGGTGCGCCCCTTGCGGAAGGGGCGCAGCGACCCCTTCGGCGGGGCTTCGTGCGGGTCGGGAGGCGCCCACGGGTCCCACGTCACGGAGGTCGGGCTCGCGCCGCCAGCCGCCGGCCGCGCGCCGCAGCGTGCGCCGCCAGCCTCGCCGCGCGCGGCTTGAGCGCTGTCGGAGGCCGGCGGGGCGTGCTCGGAGGTCTCGGCCCGCTCCTGCAGGGGAGGGGGGAGGAAGGGGGCAAGCTCGGCCGTGTGC